GAACATCTTGTAGTTTGATCATATTCACCCATTTTCATCCTACTAAGACCTACAAGACATCCTTTTATATCTTCTACCAAAGTCAAATTCTCTTCTTGGTTTTATTTACTAACATGAAAGTCTGTTCTGCTCATAGACTCCTAAGTGTGGACACATCCCTTGAAGCAGGGCAGCCTGGGAGTGGCCACAGCCTAAGAGAAAACTGGATCTTTTAGACCTGAAGTCAAAACTGTCTATGTGATTTTTTTGAAGGAGCCTGTCAACAATGTTTTTCTTTGTCCCTTCTTGACCTCTGACTGTGACAGTTTTATCACAACCCCCTCTGCAATGGTCCTTGAGTCTTGGGAGGGGTGTGACACGGATGTCTCATTGTTGGCTGATAATATGCAGACACTTCTTCTCTGAACTTTGATCAGCTGTGATGCACTGCATGAACCATTGTCGATGGCACAAAATTGTTGTTCTGATAAGGTCTGAGGAGTCTGATCCAGACTGTAGTCTTCTCTGCAGTCTGCAAACACCAGAACCAGCAGAAGAAGCATCCCTGTGAAGCAGGAAGAAAGTACAACCATGTGTGGGTGTGGATTGGCCAACAATTAGATGCCCTTGCCTGAAGCTGCTGATCTTTGGGGATAGATGGAATGAGGTTTATGGTAAACAGAAATGTGCTTTATCAGATTCCCAAGGAAAACTGGATTTGCCTTCTGGTCATCCAGTAAGAATTCTTCTACCTGGTGAGGGTCCTTCTTGTTCAGGATATTGTCACCAGCACTCCCATTGTGAGTGATGGGACATTTTGGACAACTAGAATCCTCAGAATGTCAACAGGTTTTGGTCAAAATATTCATCTTGTATTGCAGCCTAAGTCTCCAGAATTCACACTCAAGGCTGACTCTAGTCCTTTTCCAGCTAGCATGATACTCATACATACTTGTAACAGGAATAAGCATAGAGTTTGGGTGTTGCCTGTGTGGAGGAAGAAGTCTGGACTAGCTGGCATCTCAGCCACATCATCATAGAAATCCTCAGGTGAGCCATTCATAACTACCATTAGGGAGACCAGGAATCAGATAATGGCCTCTCCCAGTTGCTAAGCAATTTGGAACAGCTGAGTAGGAGACTAAAGTCAAGACATGTGAGACAGTGAAGTATTTCTAGAGACAATATGGACACGTGTACCTCACTCTGTCTCAGAGTTCAAGTTCCCATGGGATGAACCAAGTGTTAGGAGTATCCGTTTCTAAGCTCACACATCAATGAAGATGCCAGTGAGAGGATTAGACATCACCAAGTAGCTATAGGATGATTGTGTTCAGCTACTGATGATAAGAAAAATACAAACCCCAAGAAAGGTTGTTAATTGATCATGACTACATTACACATCATGTATTAAAAAAAATAATGTAGACCTAAGCTGCATTATCATAGCAGCCAAAGTTTGTAATATAATTTCAAGAAAATTACCATCGAAAATCAGAAAACTACATATTCAACCTAGAAAAAATTTGAGAGCAGGTGGGAAATGTTTCAGGCAAAGTAGCGCTAAAGGGAGTAGAACATGAGGCAAGAGTTTCCATCTGTCCCACTTAAGTGGTGTATAGTCCTGAAGAAGGCTTAGCTTCTGATTTTGTGGCAGTTTCCATTGGGAGTGTTACTGTTATCTATGAGTCTGGTGCTGCAACATAGTCTATGAAAGATAAAGGGGCTTTAGGGGCCATATTTTCAGTTAGAAATTCAGGTATGTGGAAATATTACATGAACTTTTAAAGACACTTGGGGACAGATGATAGATGAAAATAACTGACAGAAGACAGGAAGATATACATCTCTCTACATGGAGACCCGCTGCAAATTTAGAAGCACCCATGTTTCTCTACCATATTTTCTTGGTGCTCGCCATGCTCCTGTGTCCCAAGTTCATATTATTACCAAGGCTTGGAAATTTCAGAGTCCAGCAGCATTTAAGGAGAAGAGATTTTTGTTCATTTAGTTTTTTTTCTTTGCCTCTTTTCACTGATATTTTATAGAGTTATGGTAATCTTAAATCATGGCTCTTTACAACCATATTCTTCTATGATAAATTCCAACTATTTCTACTAAATTTTGAAAAAATAAAATTTTTCTAAATACTATATTCATATAGCCTATGGTCACATAGAAAATAAATGAACATCAGAGGCATACAGAGTGAAGAGAGGTCTTATGACCACAGGAACACATTCTTGTGAACTACTAACCACCGATTCTTTTTTAAAGAACCGCCTTCTGTCAGGGCCACAGCCCACTAGCGCTATGTCTCACTTATGAGAGTAGACTAACTCTATTCCTCTATTTCTCATAGGTGAACAGCATCATTCCCTGAGCCTTATGTGAACCCTTTTCTTGATTTTCTTCTTAAATGTGTCATCTGACCTTACCTGTCACATACCTTTCATGAAAGAGATGTGCTGGCTTCTACAGAGTATCTATCAATCAATATTATAATAGTAAAGACAAGAGTAGTATATTTCTAAATGAGTACTATATGTAAATTCATAAAATATACGATAAAAACATATTTACTTGGGGAGTTGGGGAGATGGCTTAGCAGTTAAGAGCACTGAGTGCTCTTCCAGAGGACCTGAGTTTGATTCTTGGCAACCACATGGCAGATCACTTATCTGTAACTCCATTCCATGGGACCTGACACCCATGCAAAATTTTTATGGCAAAAGTTTTACCCAAAACACTAAAGCACAAAAGAAAATATTTACTGAAACAAATGTAAAAAAAAAAACCAGATAAAATAAGGATGTCCACTCTCTCTGAACACAATTCCTGCTTTATTATTATTAATTCATATTAACTTTACCAACTGTTGGTTTTCCTTGGTACATTTTCATATACATTACCTATTGAACCTCTTTATATTCTTTCAATTACTATTTTTAAAGAAAGTTTTTATTTTAAATCATGTGTGTGTTTCTGTCTCTGTTTGTATGTGTGTGTTTCTGGGTACAGCTCTCTCTGTTTGTCTCTTTGTGTGATTATGTGTACATGACTACATGTACATTTGGAGGTAAGAAGAAGGTGTTAGACACCACGAAGCTGGAGTTACAGGGGATTGTGCTGTTCAGTGTAGATGCTGGGAACTAAACTCAGATCCTCTAGAAGAGCAGCGTACATTTTTTACTGACCAACATCTCTCAATTTCTGTCTTCAGCAAGCAGTATCCTCAGGATATAATTGGCAGTATGAACATGTCTGCTGTATATCAGGATGTTCTTTCCTGTACACATATTCAATATGTTTCAATATTTATTCATTTTTATAATATTTTATAAATATTCTTAACATTTCACTGTAATGGTTATTGGGAAATGTAGCAGGACAGACAGGCTTTCAGAACCACACCTCAGCATATGTTTGTGCTGAACCAGATGCATTATGCAGGCTTTTGATAATGGAGGCATCTACACTGCACCCATATAGACACATGGGAACTACATGGATGGAAGCAGACACCCAAGAAACTCAAGGTTTTATTAGTTCAACTTGGGATATGAGTTGCAGATATTACATAAAGAACTAGAAGTAAAGGAGGAAGCCAGAGGCATGACTGGTTCCCGAGGCAAGTACTCTGAGGACATGCCAGGATGAAGGATCTAGGAATCCACTTCCTCCATTCATACCTAACCCAGGTCCTAATAGACAAAGCATTCCTGGGCACCATAGAGAAGAGTTGTTGAGGAACATCTAGTCACCACCAATCACATTACCATCTAAGTGTCATGAGGCAGAGCCACACAGCTCCTGACACTCTCTGACAGGCTGAGCCAGAGCCCAGGATCAGAATAAAAGGGCTGAGGGACGGGGCACTTCCATCACTCACCTCCTGAGATACCCACAGATCGTGACCTGCCTGCCATCTTGGTAAGTGTTCATGGGACACAAGAGCAGAGACTTTTCCAGAGGGGTTGCCAGACTAGAGATGAACAGGGGACTGGGAGAGGTCTCTCAGCCTAGAGGCCATATTGATAGATCATAAAACATGGTGAAGGGTAAGGGCTGAGACAATGGGAACATGGACACACAGTAGTGGCAGTTCTGAGAGACACTGGAATGACTGGGACCTCCTGGCTCTGGAGAAAGCAAAATACCTTCAGTGTATAGGAGCCTCCTTGGGATGAGATGCTGAGCACAGAGAACTGAGCATTTGGACAGGTTTGGGGGGGGGAGTTGTTCTGTGAAGAAAATGCTTCCCCTCACTTTTGAATCAGGAAAGAGCCAAAGAGTCTCGTTTTGGCATGGGAAAGAAAGAGAGCCCTGATTCTGGATCTGTTCATACATTTCTTTGATCAATAGGGCACCACCAGGATGACACTTTGCCACCCTTAGCCACAGCAGGCAGTGATTTGGATACCTAGGATGTCTGGACTCACAACGGGGAATTGTAGTACCATGGCAGCTCTGACAGGGCTTATAAAATATTTGTCCTTCAGTAACTGAACGTTCTAGATTATTGGAGATCAATAATCTGGAAGGTCCTGAAATGGCAGCTCTGACAGGGCTTATAAAATATTTGTCCTTCAGTAACTGAACGTTCTAGATTATTGGAGATCAATAATCTAGAAGGTCCTGAAATTCTGACTTTAAACTAAGATCACCTTCAAGTGACAATTTCTCTTTGCTCTTACAATTACTTTTTTTCTGAAATAATCTGTATACTGGCACATCTATGAGGATTAAGAGCAGTACACATTTTCCAATGTCACTAGATAATCATTCAATATTTCTGGTTTCAGGTGACAATGTGTACCTCAGTTGCATGTGTTCTGTGGTTTTAAAGTCCTGATGGACATGATGTGATAGCTAGAGTACAGTAGAATTATGGGAGTATAGATGATGTTCTATGACTACCAGTGACACTGCTGGGGACCAGGAGAAGCAAGGTGTTCACAGTGTCTGGTATCTGACATGTGTGTGATTCTCTTGCAGCTCCTGAACAACCACAAACCGAGATGTCCTGCCAGCAGAGCCAGCAGCACTGCCAGCCCCCTCCCAAGTGTGCCCCCAAGTGCCCTCCCAAGTGCCAGACACCAAAGTGTCCCCCTAAGTGTCCTCCTGTCTCTTCCTGCTGTAGTCTGGGTTCTGGGGGCTGCTGTGGCTCCAGCTCCGGGGGCTGCTGTGGTTCAAGCTCCGGGGGCTGCTGCAGCTCTGGCAGTGGTGGCTGCTGCCTGAGCCACCACAGGCCCCGCAGATCTCTCCGTCGCAGACACCAGAGCTCTGGATGCTGTAGCAGTGGTGGCAGCAGTGGCTGCTGTGGTAGCAGCGGGGGCGGCAGTGGCTGCTGTGGCAGCAGCGGTGGCGGCAGCTGTGGCAGTAGCCAGCAGTCTGGTGGCTGTTGCTAAGCTGGTGAGGAAGACTTCATCAAGTGTTCTAGGAGAAAGTCATGCTCAGCAGACTGGTCCAGGCCTGCTGCCCTCTCCTCTGGTTTCTCTCCTTGGGCTTTGCTCTGAGATGCTGACATCTATGAAAAGATCTGTATTCCACTTACCAGATACAGTGCCCTTTTGACTCTTTGTTACAAATAAAAACGCCTTGAGAACAGTCTAGATAAGACTCTTGTTCATTTCTCAGCATTATCTTGATGCCATCTTAGTTATCTTTTCTGCTCTCAGAGAGTCACACCTTGAACTCTTTTTCCCTTTTATACATACATTTATTTCCTATGCTTTCATACCGATTGTTTTACTATATCTCTAGGAACTACAGTCATTTTTTTTAATAGTAACCTCTTTTGAGGACTTAGAAATGGTAGTCACTCCTCACAGTTATAAAAGCTGGGGCAAAGTCAGTTTCTCTGGAGTTGAAGGTGAATGTTCAGTATTAGATACTCCAGGAGCCTGTAACCCACAGGTTGAGTTGACTGGGAGTGTGTGTGGGGTTCCTGCACCCTCACTTCCTTGCATCCCATAGCAGCCTGGAGACGGTGGAGGTGACTCTGCCACTAGTGTTGTGGAGGGAGCTGGAAGTTTAAAATAATTACAAACTCTAAAAATTCTGTTTGCTATTGCTGCCCCTGAGCTCCTATGACAACAATATATTTCTAAGCAATTGTACAGACCATTGATTACATTTTCCTTTCCCCATATCTACAATTTTATTTATCATTTTTACTCCCAATTTACTCCCTACATTTCAATATTGGTGATTTACCTGAGTGCTCACTTTTCACTTTACACCTGCGGTGTCTCATTCATCTTGGTGTCCATCATGTTATTCTCGGGCTCCACATCCCTGGTGCCATCTGTAGGGTTCACCTTGAAATATTCATCCATCCTTGGGGGAAAGCGTGATTGAGAAGGACACAGACAAGAAAAAACAGAGTCAGGAGGGCACCCAGTTGCTGAGAATCACCACATGTTTATTTCTCATAGACTCTATAGATCACAATCCAAAAAGAAGGGGGAAGGCGAAAGTCTTCTTTACCAATTATATGACCAAAACATCAAAATGCCACATTCTAAGTCAAAACATGCTGATTGTAGCCTTATCTTTGGTCAAATCTTCAGTCACATAAGCTTGAAGGAACAAAAATAGCTGTGAACTCTCTAATCTTTAGTCAAAGTAGAATGGATCCAAAGTAGGTATGGGAGCAGTAACATTTCTTGTGTCCTGCTGGTTCAGTTTGGACAGTAACTGTCAGCAAATGAAGCAAGGGCAGTTTCTTTGGTTACATGTAACTTTTTCCATGGAGAAAATAAACCCCATACAAACTTTCTTTGATACCAATCTTTGTCTCTGGAGCACTTTGCCAGGAGTAGATGAATCTAACTCATGAAAAGTTTAAGTTATTAAAACATTTTAAATATCATGTTCTGTATATCTTTGAAGTGTTTGAAGAATACCCAGCTATCTGAAATATCTTTGTAAATCTAGAAATACTAATTAACATGACTATAAGTTTGACTATTATAGATGACTAACTGTATTTTGTAAATCTGTGTTTCTTAACTATACATTACAGTTTAATTGAGTTTCATAAACACAGCATCTTAAACAGAGTAGAAATATCCATATAGCATGACAAAATTAACCTTAAATTTATATCAATATAATATCAATTCATATCAATATATTACATCAAGTAAAATCCATACCACTGTAAAATAGACTGAGACTAACAGGTGTTCTTTTACTCAATAACCTACCCTCTCTGTGTCATTTCTATATCACATCCCCATTTCTTCCCTTTGCAAGAGATTGACTGTGACCAATAACAGTTTACACACAACTCCCCTTGAATGAATGTAAACACCTATAAACAATATTTTTGGAATTTGTGTGTAGTTCTGTAGATGACTTCCTTCTGATTGGTGTGCACTGGTTCTCTTAGAAAAACAATTACATAATTTAGAATTATAGTCAAGTTCTGACTAGAGCCTGGGTTATCTTATCTAGCAGTCATTTCTTATCAAGTTTTTTATTTGCCCTACAATCAATAGCTCTATTTATAAGGCCAAAGCATCATTCTGCAAACTGATAGCTAGCCTATGAATATGAGCTGAGTCAACTTTTAGGAAA